GGGGGTCCTAGGTTTATAAATAATATGGATCACCCCACACAACACCCGGTAATCACTTATACACGTGGTGTTATCGCATGGTCATCATATCCATATCTACCCTTTCCCACCCCGTTAAGGTATTAAAGCGCGGAATAGTCTCGTTTTCTTATTGCATGCTATTACCCGCCCCAATCCTATCAGTCCAGGAGGCATTTAGGACTACTAATCCTAAAGGGAAGGGATGTTGGGCTTTTATAGTTTCAAAGGTAAAAACACTAAGGCGACAAGCAAGAACACATATAACAGGTATGGGGAAAGTACATAAACAAATAAGGCTCAAACATGCCTCCTTAGATCAAAGAAAAGCATATAGTTTAGCATGTCTTGCACGTACTGATTAAGGTCTGATTAAACTTAAAAGGCAGGGGCAGGCTGATTTATCACATATTTCCAGATAAGAAGTCCGAATTAGGCTTGTCTGCTGGTCGTAATTGATAAAGATTGATACAGTTTAAAAACTTTACCCTAAGGCTTGCCTAGGTGTGGGACAAAAGCTCCTATAGACATGATATCTACTGATTTCAAAAAAGAATGAAATAGATTGAATACATACTGATTAAGAGGGGTTACAAGATTATTAAAGAAAAGCCAACTTTAGCAAAAGTTACAGGTTCTGCAAGCATTATTACTGGTTTTAGACTCATAAGCGAGTGGAAACGTTTCAGGCTTGGTTGATAGTTCCTATAGGCATGCTTTCTATGCGTTGTTGACTTAAAACACTTTTATAGATATGAAAAAAATGCAGAAAACCTACAACATTATATCTGGGAGTTACATCTTACTACGAACGTGACATCTGATTATAGTCTTGGTTATTAAGACCTATAGACAAGTTTGCCTAGTGAAAAGTGGGTATGCAAGAATCAAAAGGGACCTATAGGCATATTTTCTACATGCGTGTGCAGAAGCTATAGACATAATATCTACATGAAAGTGCAGGATCCCAATAGTCATGGCATCTAAATGAGATGCAGAAGTTCTTATAGACATGATAGCTAAATGAGATGCAGAAATCTTATAGACATGGTAGCTAAATGAGATGCGAAAATCTTATAGGCATGGTAACTATGTAAAAAATGCATAAGTCTTATGGGCATGGTAACTACATGAAAAATGCAGGAGTCTCATAGGCATGGTAACTACATGAAAAATGCGGAAATCTTATAGGCATGGTAACTATATGAAAATGTAGAAGTCTTACAGGCATGGTAACTATATGAAAAATGCAGAAATTAGAGATTCCTATAGGCAAGTTATCTACCCTTTTTACATGCATGGTCACCCCTCCTTTTTCACTAATCATCCCCGAAAGTTTATTACAAAATTATTATAGTCCAAAGAAAATAAAGAAAATACATCAGAAATTGAAAATTACAACCAAG